TTTAAAAAAAGATTCTTCTGTACGTGTGTATTCAATTCATTTATGTCACAAGAGTCGCTTTATATTATTTCTATGCAAACTAAGACTAGTTTTCAACTGACTATTGCTAGCTATTTCCTCGACTATGTTTAGAAAAATTGATGACTACTCGGCATTKAATAGTCAAATCAAGAGCGCGAGWGCCGAAGAAAGACGGCATGAAGCGTTCACTTTGGTCACAAGAAATGTTTTTATGTTTTTATGTTTTATGTTATTTACTAAATAACAGTACTTTGATCACAGGCGTCCCAGGCTGGTATCTTGTGGCTTATTAATGGCGCGAGCGTTCAGTGGTTCGAATCTCGGTCGAACCGCTTTAAAAAAATTTTTTTTTTTCTGTTTTTTTTTCTTCACAAAATGGATCCTTATGTAGTTACGATATTTTTTCTGAATAAAATTTTCATTTTAAAGCTGTTTTTATATTTTCTCCCCCCACGTAAGAAAAAATTACTTAAAAATTAATTTTTTCTTACTTGTGGGGAGAAAATATAAAAACAGCTTTAAAATGAAAATTTTATTCAGAAAAAATATCGTAACTACATAAGGATCCATTTTGTGAAGAAAAAAAAACAGAAAAAAAAAAATTTTTTTAAAGCGGTTCGACCGAGATTCGAACCACTGAACGCTCGCGCCATTAATAAGCCACAAGATACCAGCCTGGGACGCCTGTGATCAAAGTACTGTTATTTAGTAAATAACATAAAACATAAAAACATAAAAACATTTCTTGTGACCAAAGTGAACGCTTCATGCCGTCNGCCGAAGAAAGACGGCATGAAGCGTTCACTTTGGTCACAAGAAATGTTTTTATGTTTTTATGTTTTATGTTATTTACTAAATAACAGTACTTTGATCACAGGCGTCCCAGGCTGGTATCTTGTGGCTTATTAATGGCGCGAGCGTTCAGTGGTTCGAATCTCGGTCGAACCGCTTTAAAAAAATTTTTTTTTTTCTGTTTTTTTTTCTTCACAAAATGGATCCTTATGTAGTTACGATATTTTTTCTGAATAAAATTTTAATTTTAAAGCTGTTTTTATATTTTCTCCCCCCACGTAAGAAAAAATTACAAGGCAGGGGTGTTCAGCACGGCCAGCGCCAACTGCCTCTGGTCATCGCAGTCAAAACGCACTTTCTCTTTCGGCAATCAACCCGAATCGCCGTCCAGCTTGCGATCAAATACCTATTCTTCCATGGGTTAAAATTGCACCCTCCAGTGAGAATAATTTCTCGAGGTATTTCGCTCACAACATCAAAGTAATGCAGCCTACCATCRTACGGTACTTTCTTCGAAGACACCAACGGAATTGCCTCGCTTTCGTGAGTACAAGTAACCGACTATGTACCTCGGGGACAGGCTGGTCTTGCTATATATTTCAAATTTGCCGTTACTGTAAGTTGTATATAGGTTGAGTTAAATTCACCGGTAAGTTTATTATGTTTTTGAACTAAAATGRAACCACTGCAAAAGAGATCAAAGTTGAGTCCCGTTCTAGAACGTCGATCCAAAATTATAAACACAACAAACAAGATCACACGAGAAGACATATCTGAATTTTTACTTCACTTCTATAGTAATATTTTCGTTGATTGTTATAATTCGAAATCGGAATAAGCCTTTAGACTTTATATTTTCTCGTGAAGCGGCCTTATTACTACTTTACTACTGAATAATAACTTCCAAAATGTTCAACTTACCATATCTGCCACTCTAGAACGGGACTCAACTTTGATCTCTTTTGCAGTGGTTTCATTTTAGTTCAAAAACATAATAAACTTACCGGTGAATTTAACTCAACCTACAACTTACAGTAACGGCAAATTTGAAATATATAGCAAGACCAGCCTGTCCCCGAGGTACATAGTCGGTTTTTGAGTGGTCCCTCCCCGGAGTTAGGTTCAATTATGGACACACGAAAGCGAGGCAATTCCGTTGGTGTCTTCGAAGAAAGTACCGTACGATGGTAGGCTGCATTACTTTGATGTTGTGAGCGAAATACCTCGAGAAATAATTCGCACTGGAGGGTGAAATTTTATCCCATGGAAGAATAGGTATTTGATCGCAAGCTGGACGGCGATTCGGGTTGATTGCCGAAAGAGAAAGTGCGTTTTGACCGCGATGACCAGAGGCAGTTGGCGCTGGCCGTGCTGAACACCCCTGCCTTGTAATTTTTTCTTACGTGGGGGGAGAAAATATAAAAACAGCTTTAAAATTAAAATTTCATTCAGAAAAAATATCGTAACTACATAAGGATCCATTTTGTGAAGAAAAAAAAAAAACAGAAAAAATTTTTTTTTTTAAAGCGGTTCGACCGAGATTCGAACCACTGAGCGCTCGCGCCATTAATAAGCCACAAGATACCAGCCTGGGACGCCTGTGCTTTGATTTGTCTATTGATAGCGAGTCGAATTTGTTACATAAGTTTAGACTGACCAACACTCGGTCACCAAGGTCACGTCGTGCAGTGAACAAGCAGACTTGAATGGCCGAAAGTGCTTCAGTTAGCCGAAAGAAGACAGCACGTAGCAGTGTTCAAATTCGTATAGCCCATAAGAAGCACTTGATATTTCTATACAAAGCAGAACTAGTTTGATTCAAGAAGTAAGAGTTAGTTACCGAGAACGGAGGCATTACGCTATATACAGCCCGACGTGCGAGGTAACTAACAAACTTAGTTTTCAATTCTACTTCGTCATTGGTCTACGTCACTACGAAGTCACGTGAGATAGCGCGCGGCAAGCAAGCAATCAGTTGCGTTTCGGTTTCCAAACGATCAGTGAAAGAAATTATTTGCTCTACTACTTTGACTATTTGTTTCCAACCTCATGGGGGACTCCAGCGAGGAATTGCTACTTGACACGGACGGCGAACAAGAGAGTACTTTAAACAATCCTATGGCTGACATGCTTGCTAGTATAAACCAAAACATGCAGCAAATGAGCGAATCGCTCAAGAGATTACATGGCGCGGACGAGGCAGAATCTGCCAAAAAAGTCAAAAAATCGCGCCCATTGCCTGAATCAGGCTCTACAACATCAATTACCAATAACGATGTTGTTGATCTCCTTCAAGACGAAGAGGAAGAGGTGAAYAACGATGGCCAAGAAGTTGATGTGCTAGATGAAATTGCACAATCGCTCAGCGAGGCGGAAAAGACTGGTGAAGCCGTCTCTGAGAAACTGGCAAATATTGCCAATAAATCTTGGCTACACAAGCTATCAGAGGAAYAACTCAAGGAAAAAAGCCAGAAATACCACCGGCCATCAAACTGCACTAAGCTGATAGCCTCACCGAAAGTAAACGAAGAGATATGGTCAAAGCTACAGCGAGAAGCACGAGGTAAAGACCTTAAGCTTTCCCGCCTACAGACAACAATGTCAAAGGCGGCATATATTGCTGTCAACTCGGCTGATTTGATGTTGAAATTAAAGCCAAAGGTCGACCGAGATGTCGCCAAAGACCTGAATAACCTAGTAGTAATGACTACTGATTCACTCCAGCTACTCGGCCATGCGAGTTTTGAACTGTCACAAGTCCGAAGAGACGAGATCAAGCCAAATTTGCACAAGGACTATGGCGACTTGTGTTCTTCGAGCACGCCGGTGACTGACCTCTTATTTGGCGACGACTTGCAAACACAACTAACGCACATAAGGGCGGCCAACAAGATAAGCAACACAGCTGGCAAATCTTACTCCCAAAAACGTGCAAGTAACAGCCACAACTCGAAATACAACAAGCCTTTTTTAAGCCGAGCGCCGACTCAAAGTCGGCAGAACTACAATTACAACAACAAAGCGAGGAACTTTCCTCACACCTACAATCGCACGAAACGTGCCGAACAAACAAAGAAATGAACGATAACATTCCAACTCTGACGGTAAGCAATTTTAATNTCTATTGAGACAGCCAGCTCTATAACTTTGACGATTGTCTCCAGTTGCTGTATATTTTACATTTTTCGGAAAAGATAATTTCCCAAGCACTAATCCAAAGATGGACAAGACGATTCATTTCTTAAAAGTGGTCTTGTTGTGTTAAGCGCGACCAAAGGTAAGAAGAAGTTGTCTAATCGAAATTTGCACAAAAAAACACTCTTAAAGTTGAATTCTCAATCTGAGAATATGAGCTCTTGATTTTAAAAGATAGTGTCTTACTTCAAGAATATAGTTCTTGAGGTAAGCATGATTTTTCTAGAAATAAGAATTCTGACAAATAGAACATTTCTTATTTCATTTCAAGTCAATGTTTTCTAGTATCGAGATAAATATTCTTGTTTTAAGAGAATGGCATTTCCCAAACTAAGCATTAATATTTTAAAACAAGCATTAGCATTCTTAAAACAAGCACATATTTAGCAGTTTTCAAAATAAGAAAATGCCTATTTAATTTAAGCAAATATAATCTAGTATTAAGACAATAATTCTTGATTTAAGACGATTACAAAATGTCAAACTTAGCAGGAGCATTCTTAAAACAAGCACATATTTTAACATTTTTCAAAATAAGAAATGCCTTTTAATTTAAGCAAATATAATCTAGTATTGAGACAATGATTTTTGATTTAAGAAATTACAAAATGTCAAACTTAGCAGGAGCATTCTTAAAACAAGCACATATTTAGCCATTTTCAAAATAAGAAATGCCTAGTTCTAATTTAAGTAAATATAATCTAGTATTGAGACAATGACTCTTTTTTTTAATATGATGACATAGGATCAAGCTTAACAAGAGGAACATTCTTCAAACAAGCACATTTAAAAAAAATAATTTTTATCACATTTTAAGCACTTTTTCATATCAAAAAATGCTGTTTGTTAGTATAATGTTAAAATTATTATAATTTTGACTAATGGGTGCAGTACTGTACGACTTTCAACTATCCCACTGTGACAACAAATATGTTTGCTTAGCGTAATCAATAATGTAATCATTTTAAACAAATATCATTATTTTTACGGTAACTCAACTTTTCAAAAAGGTAATTGGTAACAAATCTATTTCAAAAAAATAAGGAAAACTATTTTACATGCATCAAATATTTTTAATGCAATCAATATCAACGATAAACAGGATTAACAATGTCGTAGATTGTTTTTTTTAACTGTTGAACAGTAGATAGAAAGTCATCCCTTCTCTCGACCATATTCTCAAAGGCCCCCCTCTCTATTTTATGTTATAACACTGCACATATTCCATTAACATTATACAAAGATACTTTCCCGTAGAGTTATGTATTTTTTCCCACCTACTGAGTAAGTATGAAGAACATTCAAATGAAGTAGATCTTTTTCCATAGTAATGTGATATCCTTGAGCTTGGTTACACTCTTCAAACTCAAATGCTTGTAGGCTTTCATCAAATCGGATTGTCTCTCCTACTTCAAGAGCAAAGAAAAGATCAAGATTAAAGTACCAGATTCTTTCAATTTTTCCGAATTCTGGAAGGCCAGTCGGTGTCACAGAACACATTAAGAAGTTATTTCGACCAGTTTTGTACAGCCTGTTTTGTATGGTTACGCTGCTGGTTTCAAATATGTCATCATCTTGTGGCATTGCAGTAGATGGCATATCATAAAAGCGTGATATGTTATTTATAATTGTTTGCCTTTCATTGTTGTTTTGAATCGTCTTGGTTTTTCCACTACTGATGTCTTCATGGAAAAGTGAGCCTGTTGGATTCTTTCCCTTGTTGTTTATCTGTATACTTTCTGCATATTGTTTAGCTTGGTGTCTTGACACTAAGGAGTATGGCAGGTTTTTAAAGTTCTTGATATTTCTTGCTAATTCTTTAAAATACATATGTTTGCTTTCAAACCTCATGCACCAGCTGCGGACAAGTGGACCAAACTTTAAAGTGAGAGATGGAATGTGTATCATATAATGCTGTTTTGGAGTAATTGAAGCATTATAAATTTTTTTGAAATCAGAAAGATGACCATGTATTAGTTGTTTTAAATACAAAATCATGCTGTAACTTATTTTAGATGAAAAACAAATGGACATTATTTCCAACAATGATGTAAAGCAGTGCCAGTGTTCAGATGATGTATTGACAGTATCTGATAGAATAAAAGGTAATATTCTAGACAATAACCACATCTCACTAGCACTTTGTCCTAAATTTGAGCTTCTTGAATGTTCCAAATCCCTTTCCAGTATAGGTGATGGCTTGTTCTTCTTGTCATTATATCCAAGTGGAAAGTGTTCTAGTTTTTCATTTAGACCCTTAAGTGTCAGCTGACCATCATGTATGTAATAGTTCAACATCAGCTTAAGCTCATATGCAAGAATACCTTCCAAGAAAATATGCATAAGATCTTGTGGTAGCTGCTCACAAACATCAAAATTGTCAGCTTCAAGAAGTTTGCTTCTCCGCGTAACACCAGATTTCTTTGAATAATATGTTCTTAAATATTGTGATGGAGCATTTTCAATCAATTCCAGATATTTTTCATGAGTTGTCATATTTCGTAGTACAAAGTTCTCTTCAAAAAAATTATTTTGCATATCTTCAGGATTTGCCATGCAATGTCTGCACTTTCTGTATGCACCACCGACACCCTCTTTGAAACCCCCAGCACACTGACTTGCAGGTGTGTCAGCCAAAACAGCTAGCAATCCCCCACGCAAACTAACAGTTCCTCCATATAATTGAAAAGGGAATCCTCTGTCGTCACCCAATTGCTTCAGTTCCTCCACCAGTGGCTCAAATATCTTATCAATACCATATTCTTTGACATTGTTCCAAGTGCAAAGAGCAAGGAGGTTAATGGATTTGATCTTTGAGCGATATTTAATTGGCAAGTTAGCTAGCTGGTAATAAAATGCAGATATCTTGTGATTCTTGTTGGAAAGTGGATTGCATACATTTACATCATCATAATATAGCAGAATTTTAATAGAACACTTGTCTGTAGCAAACAGTTCATGTGAGTTCATGAAAGTGCCATCGCAAAAGTCTTGTAACACTTCACTGTCTTTTGAGTAGATTGGTCCAGCTAGTATAATGTCAAAGAGTTCTGGTGAGTTCAGCTGTAATTGAAGGGTCTGCAGCAGTGGCACATAGTAGAAAGAATTCTCTATTTCAACTATTGATCTTTTTCCATTCCTTTTTCGAGGAGCCTTTATTTTTCCAAGCAGGATCTTTTTTATATTCTGTATGAATATGAAAAAGAAAAATAATACTTCTATTAAAATGCTATAAAATAAACATGATATATTATGAAATGCTTTTAATTTTATTTTGTATCTTAATTTATATATAAGAATAAAAAAAGGTTTAAAAATCATATTATCATTTTACACTCCTATAAATATTTCATAAGTATTTCATTTTGATTATTACAGATTTTATATATTGTTATTAATTGTTATAAATAATATTGTTATAATTCTCATTATAACTTTTTGTAAATAGTATTATCTATATTTCTATTTTCTTACATCATTGTAAAGCGCCATTGAAATCTTACAATGGTGCTGTATATAAGTTCATTATTAATTATTATTTTTATAATTTGGCAATATTACTTCAATTTATTTACTGATAGATAATTATAAGGTTCAAAGTTCTAGTAAGGAAAAGCAATGCTGAAACTCATGGGACCTACCTTAGTGCCTAATATGTTTACATTCTGTAACAGGGATCAAGCATCAGGTTTAATCTTACTTGATTATATAGTTGGTTGATAGAGTCAACGCAATCAAGTCAAAATAGATATTAACTATTTGTTATTATTTAAATTACCGACTAAATTGTAGAGTGCTTGCTGAAATATAAATACTACCAAATAGGTGATAAATTATACAAATTCCTTTGTTTCCTATTGTATAATCATGAACACTATTTAGTAGTAAATAGTACTATTTGTTTCACGCTTTAAGTGCAAGCACACTATCCAATAGTAGATATTACTGAACCAGAACAATTCATAAGAACAAAAGGTAATACACAAGAGACTTGACAACCTTTTGTTCTCATGACTTGTTCTGGTTCAGTGATATCTACTATTTGATACAATTAGTCAGTAAATAAGAACTATTAGTTATTACTTCTTTGATTATGTTTCGTGGTACAAGTGCGTTGACTAATATATGAAAAATAACATCTGAAAGTCACCATTAAACTTACCAACTCTTCAAGTGATACTGTATGGTCCATCAGCCAGGTCTTTGATAGACATTTAATGAAATCATCTACATCCTCAAATGCTTCTTCAATTCCAGGGATATCTTCTATATGAATATTTGCATTATCAAGACTGTCTGTTAGCTTTCTTTTGATAGTTGATCTCATAACACTTAACATTTGACTAGATGATTTCATAATATTACTAGCACATGAAGTCGTAAGTCTATTTCCTTCTTTAATTTTCAAGAAGTATCTTTTAGCAAGTTCCTCTGTGGTGATCTCATTGTCACTTTCATGGCTGTCAGTGCCTGAGATGTTTTCCAATGTGGTTTCATTTGTCTCGCAATCTCCTTGAATTGAATCAGCAACTGTATCTGTATCACTACTGTCCTCCAAATGAGAGACTAAGTCATCTAGTTCTCCTAAAATTAATGGCAGATGATTAAGTATAAACACAGGCAACCCATCCTCTGATTTGGTTTTAATCGATGAGGTCAAGCCCGTCGATTAAAACCAATTCAGAGGATGGGTTGCCTGTGTTTGTTTGTAAATTGTGCAGTAAGTTGTAATATCTCTCTAGAGGACTAGGGTCCATCATCACGCAAATCTGAATCAATTTTTGGCTCAGCTGACTTTTAGCTAAGATTAATTGTTGTCTTTTTTACTTTAATTTAAGCTTATTGTTTTGTAAAATAATTAAACTTATCTAAGAAATCTTATGTCAATAAAAAATCAATTTGCATGGATATTCTTTGTCTTAGACTTTATGCTTGATCAGATCTGCTTTAGCATAAAGTCTAAGACAAAGAGAGGTTTTTTAAAATAAGAAATAAGCTTCATTTATTTACCTGAATGAAAAGAGTGTTGATCACATTCAGAGGTACAGAAAGCATGGTTGTTGTGCACTCTACGAACGTGTTTTGCAAAGGAATTGGTCTTTTGAAATACTGATCTGCATTCCCCTATTCCACATGGTAAGTTCAAATTGCAGTCATTTTTGTGACTTGAGTTATAGTGCGATATCAGTGCTGAAAAAATAAAAGCGTAAAATCCACAGAGGATACACTTCCACACTTTCATTTTCACGAACTTTGGAATAGATCGAAGGACAGCACTTGAAGGTTTTCATTCGCGCCTTTTCTGTCAAAAACGGGTTACCTCATTGGCTACTTACGTCACGTGATGGTTGCTATGCGTCATGGATACTGCGGTTCACCCTTTTGCCTGAATATTCTTTAAAACAATTCGAAAACGTACTGGTAGTTAGAATATTTTAAGGATTATAAACTTCTTTGTGCTACATGATAATTTTAACAATTTATTATAAACGGTTCAAGGTTAACGCTGCTGCTCCACTGCGGCGTGATTGGAAAATTACTGGAGAACACGAATCGCTGATTGGTTGAGATGGTTTCGATGACGTCATCGGCAGACCGTGTAGTAAAGTTGCACCCGACGTTGTCTGCTAAAACTCGTGCTGTTGGCCGTTGAAGCCATACTTCGCCGTACTTCGTTTCTTTTCGGGATTTTATTTTTTGTGGTGATATTTCACTGAACTTTGAATTCACAGAATTCACTGAGATGAATACAAATAATCTTACTTCATATGTCTCAGCCGAAGATTGCAAAGTTCTTCAAGGTGAGTTTGCATGCAATCGCGCGCCAAAACTTTGCAGTTCACAACTCGTTTTAATTTGTGCTTTTCTATCTAATTAAGACAAAATGAAGTTCAAAACAGTTATTTTAGCATAAGAGAGATAGTATACAACATATTAAGTTATATTACAAGGTCGGATGGCTAATAAAAGGTGTGGATGGAAGAAGATCTTCTGCACCCTTCTGCATCACGATCTCTAAGTTTTCAAACTTCATTAGAATTTGCTGCGACATTGGGCAAGGTTTCAGCAGATTAATTATGAATTTCGTTTGTGCCATATGAATACAAATTTATGAATCTCATCCTCCCCTTGATAATCAAATTGATATCTATTTTCTTTACAAAAATATAGCTCACAAAGTCACTGATCTAACCACATTAAAGACGCTGACAAGACCAGATTTAACAGACATATTTCCAGGCCCGGAAAATTTTTTTACAAGAAAACGTCTGTGGGTTGTAATTGAAGACTTGGTAAGCATTGTGCTATTTTAGCTGTAATATAAGTACTTATATTATTATAAGCTGGTCACCATGGTATAGATATACACACTGGTAGCCTGCAGAGCAAACGTTCTTTTCGTTTTTCGGAAAATTTTGCTTTTTGGTTTTCCTGTGGTGGCCGCGCGAAGAATGAAACCAAGCGAAAAAAGATAGAGGGATAGAAGGAAACTCCTGACAACAACCATATTGTCATTTTGTTTCACTTGTTTGTGGACGAACGAACGTCGCTGATTGGCTCTTTGCGAACATTTTGATAGGTGACAAAGACAAGTTGAGAACAATCAGTTAGTTCCACATTTTTACCTGCTTGGACTTGTTTAAGTCGAATTTAGGCTTTTATAGAACTCAAGTTCGTGTTTTATCGGGTATATATATCCCAACAACACATACAAGTTTTCATTATTATCACTCATTATTATGAAAGTGAATATTCTCACGGGTCTGATGGCGAAGGAGAATGGACAACAAACTTAACGAACTCGATTTTTTTATAGAGAAATCAAGAAAAACGTGTGATAAATGCAGGGATGGTGGAGGTAACTGTCTGATTTAAATGTTTGCTATACCCATAGCTAGATACTGTCGATATAGTAGAATTGCAAGAAAGTAACAGTTAACAATGGAATCTGAACCTTGTACTTGACATTTTACTGCTAATTTAACTTATTATATATAGTCATGTTTAAGTAAGTAACGTGGGTTCTTTCATGAAGGCTAAGGTAATTATTTTCCATAGCTGAAGTCACGTCCTAACTTTATTGTCAAGAGAGAACATCGAAAAATAAGTTCTCGATTCAGCTCTGACTCTGATAGTGATGAGGAATCCAAATTGGAAGCGTTGTCTGACATCTGCCAAGCTTTTGAGACATCAACAGTTTTAAGTGAAGAAGTATCTAGCCATTACATCAATGAAATCGAAAGAAAAACCTCTTTAGTTATCAACCAAACTTGCAAGAAATCTACAGAGCTTGATGATGAAATTTATAGCCAGGATGGAGAGCTGGAAGAATGGAAAAAACACATGCAAAATGCATACCGTGAATTACTGAATATTGTCACAAACGATGAAAATGTAAATGAATTCGTTTTTAGTATCGTTAAAGAAATGAACAGTTTATTAGAGCTTGCCTTGAAACCATAACCTGTTGAAAAGAAAGGACATTCGAGAGAAATGATTTCTTTTGTTGTATTAGCAGTCATGTTGGGCGGTTTTGGGTTTAAGTACAAATATCACAATTTGTTTCAGTGTTCATGCATGAAGCACATGCAAACATTCACAAATATCTAGTATATCCTTGTGCAGGGTCAATGTACAACATGTACACTGAAAGCTGTATGGTCATGCTCTTGTAGCTTGATGCATCTTAATTCATTTATAATAATAATATACTGTTTTCATGTACATGCATACTTATGTGAATTGAATTTTGTATAATATTTTTTTAGGAGCTTGATCATGTGCCTGCAAGTATTAGTCCAAGCAGTACACCAAAGACAAGATCAGTATCAAGCTCTTCTGTATATTCAAGTCCATCAGATATAGATGAGTCACAAGATGAAGTACCAACTTTGAAAAGGTCAAGTGGTGTTTTACAGGAAGACATTGATCTCCTAGAAAACTTTTCATTTCCAGTTTCAGCAGAAATGAAAGCATGCTGTAAAAACAGCACCTTTCCATCTAACTCAACACGTACAGCATTTCTTAGAGATTGCTACACCTGCTTAACAGCAATAACTGGCCCAAACCCTGGGAACGTACAGTTTCAAATGGCAGCGAAGAAGATTTTGGATAAAGTTCCAGTCCTGAAAGACATAAAACCACCTGCTTGGCCAAAGGAAAAGCCATTTCCATATTGGGTATATTTTGCATAATCATGTTTTATTGTTATGATATTTCAGCCAATGCATTGATCCAATTATAGTATAATAAAATTGCTTTTTATATAAGCTGGCCCTTAATCAATGGGAGAAAATGGGTTTTTTTCCTGCTTTAAATGATAAATATGATCTCCTCATACTCCTTCAACAGGATTCTGTAGTGAGAAGTCTAAAGAAAAGACAGTACAATCGTAACAATACATCCAAAAAGGTAAAGTTGGAATCCTCTGATGCCACTGCCATGATGAATGAAGATGGTGACTGCTCCAAGCATTATAAAACATTGCAAACAGAGTTAAAGCGAAAGAACACCAACGTTGATGTAGTAAAGCATCTACTGTCCATTACCTTCCAAAAACGAAAAGACGAAATACAGTCGTCAGAAGCATCAGCAAAGGAGGCAGTCTCACAATTAATAAAAGATTATCCTTTTTTTCAAAATGAGAGTGTGGTAAGTATTTATGATGTATGTAGCATCATTAAATGCATACCGTCTATATCATTAGCTGTGGACATTTTGATTGCTGCCAGGCATAATCAGTGACCATAGTCTTGGGTTGCACTAATCTCATCTCCAGGCTCTCTTTCTATCGTTATTTTCAAAATAAATGACAGTCAGTGCCATTTGTGAGTCAGCTTCCTGCCACCAGATCTAATTTACAGTCCTCTTGGAAAAACTAAATATACTGAATTTTTCCTCTCTTTTATTAATTGCAATTACCTTGATTGTTATTCACAACGGATAAGTACACTTTTTTCTTTTTGTTTTGGACTTACATGTACTTATTTTTCCCAACAGTTACTTATTGAACTGGAATTGCACTTGAAACTTAAAAGAGGCGAAATCACAGAAGAATGTGTTCCAGAGTTGATAAACAATTTTGAGACAGTGCAGCGTGACATGAAGCTAAATGCACACTCAGGTATCTAAAATATGTACACTTGTAAAATTTACATATTCTGGTCCACAGTAAGAGTGACATGTCTTCCACAGCATAATATTGTATTTTGAAGTAAGCTTGGGTATTGCAAATGTGGCCAAATACTGCTGTGATTTGATATGTATGATATTTTATGTCAAGCATTCACTGTACTACTACAGCATCATCAGGACTAAAATGATGTTGGTGTGGTATGATAATGATATATTTTAAGTCTGATGCTCTACCAACTCACTTAAACTGGTCGGCGGTCCTGATGATGCTGTAGTACAGTGAAAGCTTGACACAAAATTTTATAGATATCCATTGCCTCATGGCAATAGGCTGCATCACAATACCGTTACTACATTGTTGCTGCTGCTCAAGGATGACATTAACTTGTGTTTTGATTTAGGTATAAACAGTTATTTGATACCCTCAATACCTTTTATGGCCATACAGTATCTAAGTTATTGTGTGTTTATACTTTCAATTTCTTTCAAGAGTTTTTGTGCTGAACCATTCCTAATCTATAACTTTTTATACTAGGCCCGACTAGTTTGCACGCCATAAACGAACTTTGCAGACACTTCAATTGCATTCCCATCATTTATTCTCTTGAGGTAGGTTTCACAATAAACTAATATGGGTGCTTATAAAGGCTTGTTTTTTTTTAAGATAAATGAAAGTGAATGCTGGAAAAATACTTAGTACTTATAACAGAAACCTATAAATAAGTTACTTGAAATGATTAACAACAAACCAAGGTTTATTGACAAACTGAGTTTTATGACCATATTTTTTAAATAATCTAAAGCTAAAAGTATGAGGGATTTGTATGGCCGTTACACGTTTCAACTCCCTTAGGATTCTCAGCTTATAACTTTAGGACTGGTATTGATGTTTTACTGACATATATTTTATATATTTTCATAGGGTGATCAGCCACTACAAGACTTTATTGCAAAAACTGTTTCAACAACAGCACCAGCACTGGTAGTGTTAGAAGAAGACGAATCTCAAGAGTTTTTTATCGTCATTGATAAAAAGGAATTTCTCGAGCTAAGTAAAGACTCAACGCCAGCAAAGGCACTAGTTGTTTTACTAGCTGTTTACTACGCTCTTGACTTGCAGTATGACCCTAAGCAAGCATTGTGTTTTAAGTTTCTTGAAGAGTATGTTCTAAAGGTGCCGCAGTCCAAAAGGTCACTCAAATACAAACGGTTGATTAACCAACTGTTTGGAAAGTGAGAAACAACATATTAAGTCATTGCAAATGTAAAAGAATAATTTCACGGTGCAATATGTTATAGTTACTACTACTGTTAGTATACAAGTTGAAACATTATAACCATTATATCGAAAAAGTAATATGACAATTTGTCCAAATATAGAGCAGAGTCACATGAATCATGAAAGTGAAAGCTAAAAAAGTACTAACTAATATATAATAAATATATGCTTATTATAGTTACTCATAAGTATTAATTTAGTTTTTATTTCATATAGTTCATGTGACTCTGCTGTATCATAAATTACAGACAGTTACATTTATATGGGCATAGGGTGATCAGCCTCTACATTTATTAGACTTTATTGCAAAAACTGTTTCAACAACAGCACCAGCACTGGTAGTGTTAGAAGAAGACGAATCTCAAGAGTTTTTTATCGTCATTGATAAAAAGGAATTTCTCGAGCTAAGTAAAGACTCAACGCCAGCAAAGGCACTAGTTGTTTTACTAGCTGTTTACTATGATCTTGACTTGCAGTATGACCCTATAAGCAAGCATTGTGTTTTAAGTTTCTTGAAGAGTATGTTCTAAAGGTGCCGCAGGCCAAAAGGTCACTCAAATACAAACAACCTACATTGCCAATGTGATCTATTGCCATAGTTACTACTACAACTGTTATTATATGTAGAAACATATTAACCATTATATCCATAAAGTAATGACAATTTGTTAATGTATTGGCCTTTGGAATGCAAAATAACGAATGTGTTTTGTCAGGATTTGTTAAAACTCAGGTACGTTGAATTAATACAGTTGTAGTTACATTAAAGATAAAAGTAATCTATCATATTGTGTTTTTGTCTTTTGGTTCAATTTCTAAAAATTTTGAATGTTTATAATATTATTTTATTTACATTTTTACTTGTTTTGTTTTCTCAAGACAAATATTATTTAAGGTTTTACTTCGTTGTTATTAATTGCTTGCTTTGGAAATATTTCCACTTAATTTAAGATTTTATGTGTTTATTTTAAGCAATTTCCTTAATTATTTTAAGGCATTTCTTATTTTTCATTGAATCACAATCCTCTTAATGTAAGATTTTATGTGCTTGGTTTGGTAAACATTCTGAATAATTTTGAGACAACCTTGCTTGGTTTGGTAAAAGTTCTGACTAATTTTGAGACATACCTTGCTTGATTTGGTAAACATTCTGACTAATTTTGAGACATTCCTTGCTTGGTTTGGTAAAGTTCTGACTTATTTTGAGACATACCTTGCTTGGTTTGGTAAACATTCTGACTAATTTTGAGACAACCCTGCTTGGTTTGGTAAAAGTTCTGATTAATTTTGAGACATACCTTGCTTGGTTTGGTAAACATTCTGACTAATTTTGAGACAACC